ATTTAGATATTGTAATCAATTAAATAGTCAACTCTCTCTAATAATCACTTGTATCAAAATTTTAACTAATAAAAAACAAAACTTTTGTTGAAGAGATGTGGTTTTATGGTGTGGTTTGTCTAGAGATCAACTTTGGTTATTGAAGACTCCTTTAAAAGAATGTTTGGCATGCAAGCCAAGAGCATTATTATACAAGATAACTGGCAGGTAGTGCCTTTGTATAAAAAATCTTGGTGAAGAAAGAAAGTCTCAAAGTAGGCTTCTACTTTGTCAACAAAGTTTCAAGGTTATTATTTCGAAGAAGAATACAAAGAAAATAACAGAAGTTTTGAATTTTAATATACTCTTTAGAAGTTTTAAAAGTACCTACAATCAAAAACTTTTTACTATATTTTCACTTTTTTAAAATTTTTTAGAAATTTTAGCCAAAAAGTAAAAAACTAACATACCCTCTCCAAAAGATCGGCAGTATTTACTTCTTCTAAATTAGAACATGTCTACTGAAATAAAATTTTTTATAAGCTTATTTAGATTATGCTTTGCCAAATAAACAATGATAGTGTATTAGAGGTCAGAAAGATCACATGTAAAAAATTTTTAATGTTAGATGTTTTCTTTATTTTCTTTTTCACTTTTTTCATTATATATAATATTATATAATTTATATAGCAAAAATAGTGCTATCATAGCCATCTTTTTTTTAGCTTTTTATTTTTTTTTTATTTTTTTTTTTTTTTTGTTTTTGTTTAGTTTAGTATTTCTTTTTTTTTCTGTTGTTCTTTGGTAGAATTTTTCTATCTAGAAGGCTAGGAGAAAAAGATTGGGAAAGAAGGTAGTTATAACAGGCTGGTGAACTAGAGTAGATCAGCTTGATATAGGTTAAACCAAACTGGGAAGACTAAAATTATTTTTGGCAAGTCACACACAGGTGTATGAGTATTTAGATACTTTATATAGATAACTGGTAAGCTATATATTTGTATATTTAGATATATTCTTTTTTCTTCAGATTAAATTAATGATTAATAAAGTATGGGCATGTGATATAATCATTTAAAAAAAAAAATTATTAGATTTAAAGCCATTGTGGCACATACTGTAGCTAAGATAAACAAGGTAATATCAAAGATTATACATATCTCTCAACTTCTTTAACATATTCTTCAACTTCTTTAACATAACTCTTAACTTTCTTAACTTCTTCTAGTCTCTCAACACAGCTTTCAACTTTTTTAATATAGCTCTCAACTTCTTTGAGCACATGTTACAATACCTTTTAATCTCTCTACTATCTTGGCTTGGCATATAAAAAATATATAAAGAGTGTATTTGCTTCTGCTTAGTTTAAAGTTCTTACCTCTCTTCTAGAATTTATAGTAGATATCTTTTTTATTTCTCTCTTGTAAAGTGTAATATTTTCTTTCTAATATAATTTTTACAGATAAGGCTTATTATTATCTTTTATTTTAATAAAGTTATATATTGTTACTATTTCAAATCATTTGCTTTTTGCTAGTAAAGAATGCAACTTTTTCACTTCCTACTCTGTGTATATTTATCAAGTATATCACTACACCAGATAACTTTGTTACTATACTATATTGGTATTAAGAAGGCTATAGTATTGTAACAGGATTTAGTAATTAGATTTTGATAATTTTGGGCTTTTTAGAATTGTTTTACTAAAATGATTATTTTTATAATAAAATTATCTAAAACAAACTAGTTGATTAAAAGTTATTTTTACTAAATATTTTAAAGTTTTTAATAATAATTACATAAATTTGCTAATATGATATATATATATATAATTTATATTAAAAAACTAACAAATAAGAGATATGATAACTTAGTATAGTAGTCTAGTTTTTATTATCTTCAAGCAGCAAGTTTAAAGTTCAAATTCTATAAATAATAATTTTAAAAAATAGGCCTATAATATAGTTAATAACTATTAATAATTAGTTAAATTTAAAAATCTGTACTCTTATAATACTATTTAGAATAAGAGCTTTGATATAAAAATAAATTCAGAATATCAGAATAACTAGAAACCTATTTGGAAAGTTCTAAATTAGAAGTCTTTAATAGTATTACAAAGAAGCAAAATTAAAACCAAAAACTAAAATTGAAGAACTGTACAATCAAATTTTTAAATAAGAAAATATACTAGACTAATTATTAGATTTATCATATTTGAAGAAAAAAACATATACTCTAAAAGTATATATTAAAAGAAGGAAGACTATAATATATCTAAAGCCTAGACAGACTAGCTCTTCTGAGTTATTAGCTAGAAGTAAAAAAAGAAACTAGTAAAGAATTTAGAAAAAAAGATAAATTCAAATATGAGTACTAGGATTGTTGTAAATTTTACAAGAACAAGAAGTAAGTTATAGACAACTAATTAAAAAAGTTGTAGTTTGAGATATAGATCAAATTATAGCAGTATTCTAAAAGGTGGTTTGAAATACAAGTTTGGTAATAGTAGCACAACAAGTACTAGTTAAAAAAAATTATTAAATATATAAATAAATATATATATAAAACTTAGACTGCTCTGTTAAATTTATCTTAAGAATAGTAAAATATTCTAAAGTAGAGTGCTAAATATAGTAATATTACAAAATCTATGATTAGAAAGTTGGTATATTAATTAGTTATAACTAAAAAGTTTAAATAAATAACTCTAGTTTAGGTTGCAGATACAGGCATCTAGTATAAATAGTAACAAAAGTATAGTGGCTAGTTATACTTTCATTATCCCTTAAACCATCTGGATAAGTAGGCAAATTTGCTTGCTAAAATAATTAGATGAAGTAGAATATAAAAAAAAAAATTTTTTTTATGAAGATCTTTATTCCAACTAGCTATGATAACTCCTGAAGCTTAAACCACATGTTACACTCAATAGTCACAGTGTGACATATCCAAAATAGTTCAAACAAAGAGCATAAGTTTACAAAATAGCTGTAAAATATGCCATTTTACTCAAACTTTTAAGTTATATTATCTTCCTCATATTGCTCCAAAAATCAACTCTGTGAAGTTGGTCGTGAAGAATCTTTGACCAACTTTAATATTATATTATAAAAGGTATCAATATGTAATGATCGTAAAGATCTTTCATGATTGTCACGTGATGGTATCCTTTTTACTATTAAAATTGATCATAAAGACTATATTATGAACAAGTATACTTAGTTGATTTTTGGACCAGCATTAAGGAAGTTTCTCAAAATAAGAATTACACGACATCTAGCATGTGGCGCACTTCCATTCTAGCTTAGGAAATATGAAGGTGCGTCTTAATAAAATTTGGGGCAATTGTACAAAAATTGGCCAAAAAAAATTTAAGCAGGCAAATTTCCCTGCTTGATGGTTTAAGGAATAATTGTAATATAACATTTATCTAATAAAATATCCCCAAGCCAAAGAGATTTTTTTTTAAAAAAAAAACTAACAAATAAAACTTATACTTTTTTAAAAAAATTTTTTATATTTTTTTTTATATTTTTTATATATAGTCAGACCTCTCTAAATGCATCCCTCCTAAATGCATAATCTCTCTAAATATATATTAATCTGGCCCATTAATGGGCTTAATAGATAAATGCATATTTTTTTATTCTGCAAATGCATTCTATTTTCCTTGCCCACCTATATAAATCCCTCCATAAATGCATATCACATGATTATTAGCCAATCAAAACAAGATTATATAATCACATACAAGATAATTTTAATATATAACTTATATAGTATATAGGCAGCTATCAATAGAAATCAAGCAAATTTACATTTAAAAAAAATTCAATGCCTTAACTTTCACAGCTCATATCTTGATGAATTTTAAAGCTATCTTGATGGTTTAATATTCAAAAGAAAGCTTAGATCATAAGCTTTCTTTCGAATATAAAACTATCAAGATAGCTTTAAAATTCATCGAGATATGAGCTATGAAAGCTAAGGCATTGATTTTTTTTTAAATAAAAATTTGCTTAATTTCTATTGACAATTGCTCATATGCTATAATTCTATTAGTGTTCTCTAAATGCAACCCTCTCTAAATGCATACCTCAGAGCTGGCCCCAATGATATGCACTTAGAGAGGTCTGACTGTATATGTTTTTTTTTACTCTTTTTTAGAAGAAAAAAAAAAATTAAAAATTAAGCATAAAAAGAAATAAAAAATAAAATTTATAAGCTTTCTACAATAATATACTGTATATTTACTAATTTTATTATAAAAATAAAAAAGAATTGCTTTGAACGTTTTTATTATATTTTTAATTCTTAAACTATAAATTTTTAATAATAAATTAATTTAAAAGTTTTAAAAATTTAACATATGTATATAAATATATTAAACAAAAATTTATACCTTTCAAACTATCGAATTTTGACAAAAAATCCATTTTGGTGGTTTGTAATGATAACATGTGACTGCGCTCGAGCCTTCCGTAAGTTGTACAAAGCATAGAAAATAGGTGTTGTGAAACTGCGGCCGTTATATATAAATCGAATCTGCATTGCCTCCTCCATGGATGTTCGATAAATTTCACTTTAAAAAAATTATACATATACAAATATATACACATTTTGGTGATCGATAATAATACATTGTTTTATTGTTTTGATTATCATTATAACTTGCGCATTGTTATAAAACATGGTCTGCCCATTTTCTGCTGCGATCGATCTAAATTGAAAATTAAATTATTTGTTATCAACTGTTTATGTCGTAAATTTTATTTATTGCCTTTGCAGCTCCGATGTTAATTTTATAAATCACAAACCCTTATACTGTCACCTAAAACTTAACGCTTAATCACCCATTAGTAGATTGTGTAATCGCAAATGTCGCAATTTTTTCAATTTATCCATAAAAAAGCCTACTTGTACGCGCTATTCCTTTTTGGTAAGATGCGGTCACACCGTGGTATTACCGTATGGTAACCTACAATTGATACCCATATCCGTCCAAATCGACAGAAAAAATGGGTCGTGTAAGGAAAGACAGTGTTCATGACTCTTCTTTTGCGAACAACAAACCCGCAAAATTGTCGACAAAGAAACTAACAACTAATAACCTTTGTACGAAATGTAAAAAAGAAGAAAGTGAGTTCTAAAATACTTTTACATGTTTGCAAGTTGGCGTTGTTCTTTATACTTTAGGTAGACGGTTGTTAATTCACTTTCTAGGAAGACAAAATGACCTTTGCACAATTTGCATAACCTGCTTTCGTTCTCACTTCCTGAACTCCAAAGAACTTTCTAACATTCAAATAACTACGTTGTTTCTCATTTCATACAGGCGTTGATGGACGGTGGATACAATGCGACAGTTGCTCAAAGTGGTACCATACAGCATGTGTTAGAATTCAACTAGACGATAATGGCGAATTTTCTGAAGACTATTACTGTATACAATGTAGAGAATTAGACATATTAGAGCATTCGTCTAGGTGAATAATGGCTATAATTTTTTTTGTTGATATGTTTAATGTCTTTTTTCTTTTTTTTTTTCTGGCTAAGTTGTTTAACGAGTTGACGTCACATGGCTCAATTAGAATAAATTACTTAACTATTCGGTGACAGTCCATTCTAATTCATCAACACATATTTTTTTAACAGCGAAAAAGAATATACGCCGAATAGGAAACTTTCAATTTCTTCTGCGTCGTCTTCACGCAGCAGTGGTTCTACGTCACACAAAAAATTAAAAAGTAATAATGGGACATCACATATACCATCTCCAGAACCATATATTTTGGAGAACGGTGCCAATTCAACGACGGAAGTGGAACATGACAATAATAATCATAGTCCACATGTTATTCAAGGTAAGATGTGAAACTTATAAAGGGTTAACGAGGTATAATTGTAGAATCTTAAAAACACAAATATTGATGGTCAATACAAAACAGGGTTTAAGGACCGGATGCAATATTTGTGTGTATTATCGAAGTTGTAGGTGTTGAATACAACTGATAACGTTGATTGTGAAAAGGTTAGAAATAATAATACCACAGAAAAGGATGTCCGTACACACGAGGATCATTCGATTATTTAGTCCTTGACACAACTTTCTATCCACAATGTTTTTAACATATGTTAATTTTTGATCAATTTTCTCTCATAGGTTCACAAACGCAATCAAAACCAACTTGTAAATTACAAAAGATTACTTCACCAACAAAGCGTTCCAATAGTCACGGTAATAGTGAGGTTGAGCGTCAAGAAACAGTATCAATCACAACTTCTACCGTGAGTGTTTCGGAAACCACGTTATTTCATCCTTATACCTTTCCTAATCCTATTTCATATAACCGAGCACTTCTTCGAGTAGCACAAATTCGTGAGTTCATCTTGACTCATTGTCCCGCAGCAACAAGAATGGAAGGCGCCGATGGGGCAGAAAATGGTAACCGGCCTGTATCATTACAGTTAGCTGAGGAGCTATGGAAGAAAATGGAAAAGTTGGAAAGAACACACGATAGACGAAAATATAATAATCAATGATTATATGGATAGGTTGTTTGGGAATGAACTTTTTATTTTATTTTTTTTATCTGGTGTATTTGATCTTAGCATTTAATTCAATGAAAATGAAGATCAAGTTGATATGCTTTTTCTATAGATATTGTGTTCGTTCGGTGTATATAGTTATCGTGTATTTTCTTGAATTTTATAGTATCTTCGTTTTATCTGTCAGCGTTTCTTTGACTTCAGATTTACTATCATTCTGCTTAAAAAAAAAAAAAAAGAAAAAAAGAAAAAAAAAAAGGAAAAGATATAAAATGTGTTATAAGAAACGAACAAAATCTGTAAATTTTAAAAAAAAAATTGTTTAAAATAAAAATAAATGACTTTGTTTAAAAAAAAAAAAATCATACGTACGTACGAAATCTGGCGCGACGGCACTATTAGTGTAACTTTGTTATATGACTTTTAATTGGTTAGTCGTCTCAAAAAATTATAAAATTATGAATATTGCATTCAGCACTGATCGAAATTATGTCAAGTTCAAGACTCTTAAAACCAGAAACGCATCGATATTATCTCATCGATGATAACGAGAATGAGGCAAATGAAAGTGATATTTCAAATCAGCAGGAAGTTTTAATAAATATTCCTCCTCCTAAAGATAACTATCAAATTGTATACCTGATTTTTTTTTTACAAGGCGTGGCAATGCTTCTAGGATGGAATGGTAAATAATTTTAGAAATTTATAGAATAATTTTTATATAAACTTTATACATGACTATTGATACAGTAGTATATTTTCATTCCTTTACATTGCAGTATTTATCACAGCCTCAGTCTTCTTTCATTCGAGATTCCTTGGATCTCCTTATTCCGATAATTTTCAGAATTACTTTTCTATTGTCAATATGGGATCAAATTTATTATTTCTCACCCACGCCTTGCATACACAAACGACGGTTGGTTTTTATTGATATTTAGTAATTTAAATATTTGTTTTTTATCTAATTTTATTACGATCCAGGCGAATATTTCGGCCCGGTTGATCTTCTCTCTTTTTGTCTCTGCTTTCACTTTCTTCGCTGTAACAGTATCCACACAATTCTTAGAACTATTTACACCATCAGGATACTTTTATTTTGCCATCACGTTAGTATTTCTTCTCGGAATGACAACCGCCTATCAACAAAATGCAATATTTGGGATCGTAGCTTTATTTCCTCCAAAATATACTCAAGCCGTAATGAGGTAATGAATATTTTGAATATTTGAAAAGTATTTTATAGATTTACTTATTTTCTCTTTATTTATGCTAACACTTTTCTTGCTTTAAATGAATCGTTATCTGATCAAGTGGTCAAGGTACGTTAGAAGGTTAACATTTTCATGACTTTTTAATTTTCTTGGAGAGTAATTAAATTTTTTTAAAAAACCATGTTTAGGTTTAGCCGGCCTTGCTATATCACTTTCTCAAATTTTTAGCGCACTTGCCGTTGATCAAACATCAAATCGAACGCCAACTGGCGATGATTTAACGCTCAGTACCTTTATTTATTTTCTTTCCGCTTTTGCTGTCATAGTTTTTTCATTAGTTTCGTACTTCATTCTTATTCGTTTACCCCTTTACATATATCACGTCTCACCAGACTTGATTTTTGTGAGTCAAGGTGTAGATAATTCTTTAAGCGAAAGATCTTACAGAAATACATTTAACAAAATTAATAAGCTAATTTTTGCGGTAGCTTTTGTCTTTTGTGTGACCTTGAGTATTTATCCATCTACAACCTCATTCATTAAATCTGTGGCCCCTGATGATAGCAAAAACAAGTTTCAATACGATTATTTATTTATACCATTACATTTCTTGATTTTTAATTTTGGGGATTTTCTGGGCAGATATCTACCATCACAAGAAGAGCTGGTAATAACCGATCAAAATAAAATAGCATTTATGTCGATTTGTCGTGTTATTTTCTTGCCATTGATACTGCTGTGCAATGTGGACTCAGGATTTCACGGGGAGAGAAGTTTACCATTGCTAATAAATAGCGATTTAATATATTTTTTAATTATATTTTTGTTTGCTGTTTCTAATGGTTACGTTGGATCTTTAGCGATGATGGCTGGACCACAAGTGATGGGTGTTGAAAAGGGTCTTGCAGGAACATTTTTATCATATTTCTTGGTAGTCGGATTGACCGTTGGTTCAATCTTTTCTTTTCCATTACGAGCTATCAGTTGGACTTGATTCTTCAATTCGCAAATAATGGAGATCTTCGAAGCTATCATTTTTTTGGAATTAAAATTCGGCAATATTAGCATTGATATAATTATTATTCTTATTAATATCATAATTTGGACTTAATAAGGTTATAACCATTTTTAATATTTTTGTTCGAACTTTTTTATTTATTTATTTTTAAAAAAAGAACTTTTGTAATTAATAAATACGTTTAATTTTATCAAATAAATTGAATTTTAACTATCCACTGCATTGCCATAAAAATTTTAATCTTGACAAATAAGTTGAATTTGTATTAATATAAATTTTATTATCAATTTTTGTTACGAAAATACAAATACATTGTTTAAATCAAATTTATAGAGAACATCAATACGAAGTTCACATTAAAAGCTAGCCTGTAAGTCGATAATTATGATCTTCTGTCTTCTGTGATAGTTGTTTGATGAGGGAAGGCATTAGGTATACTAGCATCAACCTCGGCTCCATTCTCCAGTAGCAATTGAACCATTTCAGTAAAACTCTTTTCTATGGCATTCTTTAAAATTGATTTCACTGGTTTAGCACCATGTTTTAACAATAATTTGACCATTTCAATGTTATTCTGTCTAACGCTCACTGCCAACGCCATATTATCTTGAATGTCGACTTTAGCACCAGCCTCTATCAATAATTTTACCATTTCAATCCTACCTAAGCGAGCAGATTGTATAATTGGGTATCCGTTTGATTCGTTTGGTGAAGCACGACGTTCAAGAAGTAAAATTTTAGCTAGATTATAAATTCGACCCGTTGGATCCGGTTCTTTGAAAAACCATTGGGGAATTGGTCTATTTTCATAAGGGATAAACCCTTGACCATTAAGTCTAGAATATATTAGATCCAATTGATTTAGAACGTCTTTATTAAAGAATTTCCATTTTAACCCTCGAGATAATGCTCGTTCACAATCGTTATTATATCTTTTCATTAACCATTGAGTTTTTACACTTGTTTGTGAGGTAGCAACATGGTGAAATGTGCGTGATACAAGAGCAAGATCCGGATTTTTTGCAAGAACAAAAATATACTGTAAAACTTCAAAGGGGAGTCTTTCAATGCTTTCCTCGAAAACACAAGACATCCCCTTCACAATAATTTTTTAGAATGTTTGATAATTATGTGAAGAAAGGTGAAAATGTAAAGAAATTTATGTCAAATTTTATTTCGGAGTTCCTTTTTTTTTTTTAATCCCTGATTTAGAATTGATTATCTAATACACCCATTTAAATAGTTTATATTTATTACAAATTTTCAATGAGGGAATGATCCTCTTGTTACTATATGTAAGACAATCGACTTCACTCAATATTTCTTTAAAGAACCTATCACCTATGAGAATCAAGTTTTTTAGCATTCATTTTTCCCACTTAAGTAAGTTGTACTATATAGATAACGCAGCCAAAATGAGTATCAGGTGATCAAATGACAGCTTAAAAAAGGAAATATAAATAATAAAAAGATACACTACATACATACATATATTTTATTATTACGTATACGTATACGTGTACTGTATTATGATTTCATCCACACCCGAAATAAATGAAGATTTTTTTTACATATACATATATAAATATATGGTGCTTTTTTTAAACGAATTAGTAAAATTATTATAGTTATTATACTAATTTACTTATTAAAGATTCATAAATGTGTTGAACAAACAAACGATTATACGACTCAAACGTATCTAAATGAGCTAAAAGCGAAGATCACAAATAAAAAAAAAACATATACATCTTCCTTGAGCATGGCAGGCGGGAAATTACTGATCACTTTTTAAAGATCATTATCCTAAGGCTCTGCTAGTCGTTTCTGAATTTAAACGACCTGGACAATATCAATGTTTAATATTTTAGAACTCTACTAGGTTACAGTATATAAAACTAAGATATCCTTAAGCTGGAATCTGATTAGACAAAGATATCTTTGTTTCAATTTGACCGATTAAAATCTCTACAATTTTCGTTTAGATTTTAAACATTTTTATTCATAATAAAGATCAGACTGATTGCATTTACAAATAGAAAAGAGGTAGGCAAAAACCACCCTGGCGTATGACTGTGCAAATTCACGAAATTCGCTGATTGGTTACGTAGTATTAGACTACTATTAGACTGTTAGAGCGACAGAAATATTATTACGATAAATTTCGTTTGCACTCTGATTGGTCAAGTTAAAGCTTTAAAATCACATGAATTTTTGATGTCCTGGTTCCTGCATTCTATTGGTCTATTGTGGTTCTACAAAGCACATGATTTTTAAAAAATTTTGCCGGTCAGTGCACAATTTCCGGGTGATATAATCTGCCTTTTTCCGGTTTCTACAGCCAGAAGTAGTATAATTAAACGATTGAATTTATTATCATTACATAAAAGAACGGAGATTTTCCGACTGTTGAAAAACTGGGCCGGAAATGAACACATAAAAATTAGCCGAATGATTTTTCGGCCGATTCGGATTAAGTTTGTGATTTCAGTATGATCAGTATAAGAACCCGACATATAGAAGATATGCTAACATCTAAGTGTTTGACAATTTTCGAAATAATAAGCGTTCTAACTTTTTCAATTATGTGCCAGTGAATATACTTTGAAAGTATCATATTTCTGTATTCAAAGAATTATACGTATGTAGTCTTATAATATTTATATTAATCACCTGATCTTAAATCAATTTACAGTATAAACCAGCACCTTTTTATATATTCACAAAAAAATGTTAAAAGGTTTTTAAAAACTTTTTTTATCCAATTTGAAGTTTAAAGTCTAAGCTACAATTCGGCTAGAAAAGATTTTATTTTACTTAACAGCTTAAAGTTTATACACTCGACTCTGAATATACCGAACCTGCCTATACCGAAATCGGGATAAGATCAGACTCCGAACTCAAATAGTAAATTCTTATATATCGCATCCCTTCATCAGCCCAGGACTATATAAATATGTATATATAATTCGATATAACGAACTATCATATGACTTTGCACAATACAAATTTTTGTAAAATTCCGAGTTTTTCCGAAACAACCCCGTTTATAAGCAATTTTATTGGTTAGCTCTATATACCGAACTGTTCGGTATATAGAGAGTATATAAGTTATATAACGAATTTACTCTATACCGAACAATATCTTCCAGAACATTCGGTATATTAAGAGTCGACTGTATATAAAAAAAGAAATATATACACAGTATAATCTTTAGCCAATCACAATTTTATTATATAATTGATTACATAATTTTAAAATCTGGCCACTTTTTAATAAAAAAGATGTTGATTTATGCTGTCCTGCATTGTATTATGCCGAAATCACAAAAACTTAATCGAACGCCAAAAAATTATTCGTATCAGGCGTTTCAGGAATTATGAAAACAGCTGAAAACGGAATCTCCGACATTTTACAATACTGCAATAGGCTGATCGTGATAATGCATTTGATTGGTCATCTGCACAGAATCGTCCAGAGCTAACGTTCTGGAAAGTCGTTGTTATACTTTGTGACCGTGATACGTAGCACAAAAAATCTTAATATGGAAAGACAGTTTCTTATAAATTTTTTGAATTTTACATAAGTTATATTCAAAATCAAAGTCACAATTTTCTTTATACCAGATAATAGAGTAGCGTAGTGCAACTTTATTACTTTAGTTGATTACTTGTCTCTTCTTCTGAAGTAAAAAGAGGTGGTTTACCATATCTTTTGATTGCAATAACTGCAGCTGTTGATAATATTATAATTCCAGCAATCCCACCAAATATGCCTCCAATGATTGCCCCAATGTTAACAGGTAATGAATCATGCGGAACATTGGATGTTGGTGATATCATGGATGTAGTGGTATGAATTAATTGGAGCTGTTTGGTAGGATCGTATGATGTAGACCATGTATTATTTTTTTGACTTACATCAAGAAGAGAAACGTTATTTGTGACATTGCCATTTATATCTAAAGAATGAAAGTTAGCTATATGAAAAATACTGATTAATAAATCATAACATTATAACATGTACTTACCTTCACCTCCAAATGCAATTATAATATAAGCACCAATTAGTATCGAAGTAAACCGGGTTATTTGATATGGAAGTTTATTGTTAATTGAAATTGTAGGATATGACCACACGAAATTCAAGGTATCGAGTGCAATAAATGAAGGATCAGGATATCCATAGAGTATTAAAATTTGATTATACTGAGCTAAATATATTAACGATGAAAAGGAGATATCATCACCATAATTGAAAAATACAACAATCATAACGTGAAGCTAATGCTACTTACGTATGTAGACTGATCCATGGTTGCTGCGTGAATAAGGAATGTTCCCTGATGTAGTCTAAATAAATTATCAAGTGATAAATGCTATGTAAATAACGTTAGTTCATTTCTAGTATACGAATTTAGACTTGAAAATGAGTGACGTGCGTATGTAATTAAAAGCACGTGTACGATTAGTTTTCTAATCGTTTCGATGATACATTGATATTATGCGATTTGTTTTGGTGCAATTCTTGACAAACTATAGACATCAAATCACATAATTACTAATTATTATATATAATTTTTGTGAAATCGACAATTCTCAACGAACCTAAACCACAGCAAATCGCAGTAAATCACATAAATTCCGTGTTCCTGGCATATCGATACATTGGTTTTGTAATTATCGATATTAATTGCATAAATTTTGCAATTAGAAAATCTGCACTCAATTACAAGTTTTGGAAATAACTTACAACATAACTCCAATTGTTATTATGTATATCATACATCGGTAGCTATAGAATTTGGTCATGCGGGATGCAGGTATTTAAAAATGACGTTTTTAAACTCTCGCATTAAACAATATCATAACTTGCCGTACAAATCTAAACGGTGGTACACTTTACCTATAAAGTTAATTATTATTAAGATGGAGTTTATGCTGAACTGAAGAAATTGATCGAATACTATAATATTAAAACCTTATCCATTAAAATATAGGAGAGATTGTCAAAAGTTAATGCATGTAATCTACCCCCTATATACAATATAGAAGTAT